CATTGCGACAATCATTGTTGCCGTTAAGCAAAGAAAGACCGAAAACAATGAAGTCAGAAAGAGAATGGTTAGCTAGATTAAAATGGCGGGAAACAACCTTTGGTTGATCTAAGTCAGGGCACAGCTAACTCACACAGTGAACCCTGAAACAACCTCTTGGTCGACTTGTCTGAGTCAGGGGGCACGGCTAGCTCATAGCTGGATTGAACCTGAAACAATCTCTCGCTTGATCTAAGTCAGGGCAAGGCTTAACTCAGGGCCGATCGAACCCTGACCTCAACCTGTGAACATGGCCTGGAACTTTGAGATAAGTGATTGGTGAAATGTACATATTTTAATTATCATTAACATAATTAAAAATTTTGATTCATATATTCGACGTTTCAACACAGGTAGCCCAAGCTTGGTTTCTGTGGTGTCATATTATAAGGAAATGCATGGGGATTCATCAAAAATGTCAATAAAATCATTGAAACGTGAAACAAAGCCTCGAAATTTTACCCGATCATTGAGAAATAACACTTCTTTCGCTCTGTGTGGTTATTTTTTGAATTTAGCCCGTTTTAAGGATTTTGTCCCCCGGGAGACACGTTTCAATGGTTTTATTGAAATTTTTGATGAATCTCCCGATATACATTTCCTTATAATAGGACACCACAGAAACCAAGCTGGGGCTACCTGTGGTTTCAAGAGCTTTAAGCCAAAAAGAAATATGTGTTCACTTGCAAATAAGGTAGGCTTATCAAATATGTATATAGAAATGATGGCCACAAGAACGACAACTTTAGGTATTTGGAAGAATGTTTCGATAGTTCGATATTTCCAAGATAGCGCCTAATTTCTTCCCCTAAAACAAACACGGCAACTTCAGCATTTGCGAAAAAGGTGCGATAGTTAAATGTAGGATAAGATTGAGCATAATATCAGCAAAAACCARATTCAATTGTCCAAAATGGTCCACCTATATTTCCAAGATGGTGCCGTCTAATTTCTTCCCATAAAACAAACCCACAAGGCACTGCAATGCCAACTCAACCCAGTTTTTCTCTCAACCTCGGAACACAGGCAGCCCAAGCAATGTTCTTGCAATTTACTGTGAATGTATGTGGTTAATCTGCTAAGATACAGTGTGATTAATCTGCTAAGATAGAAAAGTAAGGTTGGTTTTAATAAATATTGACAAAACTTTGAGATATTGTTTATTGTGTTTTTATTAGTGACTGGATAAAGCTTAAAATCAATCCGAGGCTCATTTGCCGAGAGTTTTCAAAATTTGCTCTTTCCCTTTGGGAAGGCTGCAGACTCTGGCCCCTACCAGCGACTAAAATAGTCAACACAAAATCGCCAAAAAAAGTGAGGATGGTCACTGCCAGGGTTTCTTTACGTCCTCAGTGGTTCTTTTACGTCCCTCCTAWGTTGGTTAGTAATGATGAGTGTGGAGAGACGGGACCGCCATTTAAAGTGGTCATCCGAGCCACTTGAAAGTCTAACCATTTGTAGATGTAATTACAAAGGCAGCACTTTCTACTCAGAACCACGACAGCTCCCGCACGAAAGTCCCAAGCTCAACCAACTGAGCCAACTGGTTGGCCGTTAACATACATTGTAAATTCTATAGAAGAAYATTGCTTGGGCTGTCTGTGGAATCAACTTCTAAAGACACTCTGTGGGTTGCCTGGGTTTCCACAGGGAACCCAATTTTTTTGAAGTGACAGAAGTCACATGTTGAACTGAAAATAAATATTCTAAATTTAGCCTTGTTGTCGTTGATATAATCTGGGGTACCTTGTTACCTCAAAGAATCTCTAAGAGATCTGGAACCCTAACTCTCTAAAACGTACGACAAGTATCCCCACTCTTATCTGACTTTCCCTCCTCCCTCCATCCCCTTCCTCCCCTCCCTCCCCTCCCTCCCCTCCCTCTCCTCCCTATTCTCCCTCCCCTTCCTCCCATCCCTTCCCTCCTACTACCGGATAAATTATGAATGACTGACTCACGTTTACTCACATGCTAAGCTTTATTGATTAAAATAATCGTACAAAAATATTAAGCAAACACTAGTGGATACTTTCCGTGTGGCGTTTTTATGCGTTTGCGTTTCCGGCGCGTCTTGGCTCACTCCATCCATCAAATTAGATTTTCCAGGATTTTGAGTCATCGAGTTCCGCAAAAATAAAAACAAGCTCTACAAAAAATATCTTACGAGAATCAATAAATTTTAAGCATTTTCAGGTTGCATGGATCCTTGGGTACTGGTTTATATGACTTGATTAGCGATGAAAAGCATTGCCGGATTGGGATATCTTGTGATTCCTCCATTGATCAAAAGGACCTTTCCATCCCTGTCTGATGCCAGGTACAGGTCTGTCTGGCCATCCACGCTGAAGCAACGGAACATTGTGAAGGCGTAAAAGGTAATCGCCTCAAATTTAGCTCCGTTTGGTGTATTGGAGGTTTCATCAACATGCTGCAGATATATACAAAGAAGGAAACGATTCACTCCATTCATCCATCCATCCATCCATCCATCCATCCATCCATCCATCCATCCATCCATCCATCCATCCATCCATCCATTAAAAAAAAACAACGAAACAAAATGTTTTGGAGTACAGATAGATAATAATCTGACTTGGTGCCGTCATATCGAAAATATCAAGAAGAAAATTTCATGTAATTTATCCATCATTAAGAAAATTAAGTCCTTCCTAAACAAAGACTGCCTTAACAAATTGTGCAAGGCAATAGTTGAACCATATTTCAACTACTGCTGTCTTGTTTGGGATGGTTTTGATGAAATATTAGCAGAAAAATTACAGAAATTACAAAATCGTGCTCCGCGCATAATTACTGGAGCACCATACACCAGTGTACGGACAAACGATATATTTAAAGATCTTGGTTGGGTGCCATTAGCTGAATGCAGATTACAGTAGACTTGCCCCAAGTCGACCTCTCTTGTTTTCCCGGCGTTTTTTTAATTCGAGCGCAGCGAGCGAGCGACGAAGTCGCGAGAGTTCGACTTGTCGAACTTGCAGGATATTCACTTGCGTTTCCCGCCATTTCCGAATTTGATACGGGAGTGTCGGCTTTCGGGGGCGGAGCTAAAGAATTGTGGTTTTCATTTATTTGTTTCTTCATGTTATATCCGGAGCAGCAAAACATGGTTTATCAATAATAATGGTTGATGCTATAACTCCAACTAAAACTGTTGAAAGGATAGCGATATCTCCAGCATCCAAACAAAAAATATGCTTTCTTTGCGCTAGTCAAGTTCCGAACAATGACTATAGACGGAAATTGTTTAGTCGYCTCCAACATAGGAAGCAGAGATCCCCTTCGATTTTAAAGACTTTACTTGGTCTTTCATTAAAGAGACCAAAGGGACAACAACAACAACAACAACAACAACAGTCTCGATGAAGTTTTTCTCACCGAACCTCAGAAAATCTAAGGCGAATGGAGCGATCTCAAATGTCAGGCTTTTTCCCGCTCCTGTTGGTGCAAATATAAAAAATTCTCTGTCTGAAAGATACGCTTCTATACTTTGTTTCTGGTATTCTCTTATAGTTTCGAATCCTAATTTACTTTTACCGTATGATATGGCCTTGGTCTCATGTTGTTAGACAGATGTTGTGTTGACAGATGTCGATGGGAATCGTAGAGATAATCTTACTAATCTTACATTGTGATTGACAGCTTGGATTTCGAGCATTGTGATTGGCTATAATTTACCGACTGATTTTTGGGTCGGTAAATTTGGCGGGAAGCAAGGTCGAAAAGTCCGTCGTGCGCCCAGTAAAAAAAGAACAAAGCGGGCGGCGGACTTTGCGAAAGTCTAAGATTACAGCAGAAAGCTGTAATGATGTTTAAAATTGTTTATGGTTTAGCCCCACCCTATATGAAAGATATGTTCCAAAATCACCTCGGAACCTATTCTTACTTTTTACGCTGTTCTGCAAACAATTTCCAACTTCCCAAGGTCAGAACCGATATCTATAAGAAAAGTTTTGCGTACACTGGTGCAAAATTATGGAACTCCTTACCTGATTCCTTGAAAGAGGAGCGCTCCCTCTCAAAATTTAAAAAGAGAATTAAACAGTATGATCTCTGCATCAATAGTTATAARRATTGATTTTATCAAATTAATTATTTAGAATCTGTTTTTTCTCTTTCGTAATGATAGTTTAGCATATTACAATATAATGTGTAAATAGTATTYATATTTTTACTGTTATATTCTACACGGCCTCTAGGTAGACCAAAGTTAAGTTCTTTTGTATGAGACTTTTTATATCATTGTACTTAAGTTTGATAGAGCTTTCGTGTCTAAATAAAGTTG